GTAATTTTTCATGTACTACTTGAGAATACATGAGAAATGGAAATAGAGAAAAGGAACAGTGAGTATTTTTATTGGAATTGGAAAATAGTGTAAATTTGTAAAAGACAGCATTGATTATAAAAAACTCATAGTTTTGTATAACTGTAAGGGATGCTGCCCCATTTTCTTTATGATTCTCTTCTGTGTATTAGTAGCAACACAGAGAAAGTGGAAAAAATGAAATACAGTATGAAATTATTGCCTCTCTTTTTCCTTTGCTGTTTTCCTTGTGTTGACATTCCATTTTCTTGCGCTTGCTTTCCATTTCCTTTAATCTTCACGGTTTGTAAACGATCACTAGGGCATCGGAATAGGACTGTAGCGTTTCAGATGTCATGCAGCTTTAAAAGATATTTGGAAAAAGAGCAGAGAGACTTTGATCTCAGAGAATTCCTTTTCTGTGGTCTCTACTACTTCCTTGTGTTGTGCTTTGGTACGCGTACAAGGGGTATAATGACGATAGAAGCAGGGACAAGGTAAAACCAGACCAGGGATACATCAACAGAAACATTTACTCTTCTTAGATGAAAAGAATTATTTGGTCTGAATCATGTTGATGTTGTTAGAATAAGTCTGTAGAGAAAACGGCCTGAGTATCTCTCAGGTTTTGTACCTCTATTTACTTATTTTTTCCTCCTAATTTTCTAAAGTACAGCGGGTGATGCAAGAATCCAGATCAATGTACTATTCTTGTTATTTATTTTATTACCAAACAAGACTCCTTGGACATTTTGGTGCCACAATCCCTACTTAATGTTAAAATCAAGTCTTTAAAGGAAAAAAACTCCAACAACGAAAAGTATTTCATAAATGAGGTAACTTTCCAGGGAGTTGTTTGTTCATGTTAATGAAAAGAGTATCAAAATCTATGTAGATTATATATAGAAATGGTTATGCTGTGTTTTGACTCTTTAGTTTGTTCTTTTCCTTCCCTCAAAAATATATTTTTAGTTATGCAGCATTCAGAAGTCTGAAAACTACTGAAAGGGAGTATGTAATACTGGAATGGGAGATACTAGGGTATGCTACTTGAAACAACTCCTGGATTGCTACGTTATTCTTCAGCCTGCCATGACACTTTATATATCGTGTACTATTGGAAGTCACAGCTTATTTACAGTGTATTTTTCAGTTTGTTCTTGCTATGACATAGGGACCAAACGTAACCATAGATTTCAGATTGGGGGTGCCTGGGACGTGCAGCACCCCAGGCCCCTAAGCAGGCAGCTTCAGGAGACTACTGTGCCAGATAGCCCAGCTGAGCTCTGCTCTGGCCATGCTCAGCTATAGTGTCACGTGAGATGGAGGGCAGATCATGCATACTAGGATTTTTGCAGGTACTTAGTTCTTGGGTGTTCCTTTTCTGGGTGCTCATGCTGAGAAAGTCAAGGCTTGCACTGCAGAAGTGTGGAATGCTCACTTTTGCCATGAAGGAGAACTTTTCTTCAAACATATAAAGTACTGTAAAGTACTAGTACACTGTAAAATCAGAATTAAAGCACTGAGAAGTAGAATTCTTTTGATTTTAATAGGCATGGCAGTAATTGGTAAGAGAAGAGTTAAACGTGTGATATGATCACATCTGTGCTATGAATACTACACCTCCATTAAAGTTTTTAAAGTAAAAGGATATATAGAAAGGTTCCCATAGAAAATAAAGTGTTCAGTACAAAATGCTCCTATCAATATATTGAACGAGGACAGCACATCTTCCCCTTTAAAGAAATAAGAAATATAAATGCAGTATTTTAGTTCCTAAGACTCTTAATTATTTAAAATGAAGAACACCATCTTCGGTCTATCACAGACATTGCAAGGGTGCCTAATACATGCCTTGCAAAAGTGCTTGCCTTCCCTCCCCACCCTTTTGGCTGTACCGTAGCATCTACTGGTACTGTTTGAGAGTACCCTTGTTACCTGTGCTCTTCGGAACAGAGCTGCTGCAGATTTCATTCAGTAAAAGCCATGTTGTAAACAGATCTGCACTTGCTCAGACCCCATCTTCCAGCCTTAATAAATCCTGCTAGGCCTAGTGGCCTGCATACAGGATTGTGCTAACAGGACTACCCAGCTCAGCTCTTGGATCAAAGCTGGCTTGCATCCCGCTAGCTTGGCATGTGAAGAAAAAGAGCTTGGGCTGGCCTGCCAAAGGCCACCAAGACACCGCGCAGGCGGTTCCTCCTCCTAACTTCCACTGCAGACCCAAGCTGCGATTCCCTTAAGCCTTCTTCACTAATAAAAAAGATGCTTGTAATAACGCTAACTCGTGTTTTGCTATTTTAATGTAGTAAAGGTAATCTGTCCTTGAAATCACATTTATACACCATGCTGCACTCTTTGTTTCCATACTCTTTATGTCAGTTTGTGTAAGGATCAAGGAAACCAGCATCTGTCTGTTGATGCTGGTTATGGGAGGAAAAGACCAAAATGATCTCCAAGGAAAGAAGAGGAAAAGAGGGAGGTAGCGGTGCTTGATTGTGGGGCGGTCGGGAAGAGTTTTCCTGCAGGTAGAAACTCTTGATTTTTACAGTCCTACAACGAACAATGAAATCAGCCTTCATTCTTCTCCATCACAAACTGAAAAGACTTAGATTTTAAGCCTCAGATCTTAAGGCTTACTTTCAAGCCCTGGGTTGTTTTTATGGCCTTCCCTTTTGCATATCTTTCTTCAACTGTTCGGAACTGAAAAAGTCACACTCTGTGAGCAGCAGGTTGTCAAGGCAAGACCCTTCCTGTTTTGGGTATCTCTCTTTCCTACAACAAAAGTGGGCCAGAAGTGTAAACATAGACAACCCAACAGTGGCGAAAGTTCTCAAAGCTGCAGGTGAGAGAGGAGCTGATGGAAGTAATAGCGTTGAGCTTTCCAGGGGCAGTAGCTAGGAAGGGTCCGAGGAAAGGAAGAGGAAGGTTTTAAAACGTCTCGTTCTGGCACTCCGTTTCTTGTTACACATTTAAGAATTGGTTCCGTTTCTTTAATCAGAGCCTAATTGCAAGAGCTTTTGTATAAGTAGTTGAGATTCATGTCTGTGCTTACTGCTCTTAGTATTTTTATTCTTTTTATTGTCCCGAGTGCTCTTGGCCATTGTTATCACACTAGCTTTCCTTATCAGTTATCTTTCATAGAGGATTTTAAAAATTGTAATTGCTTTTTCCCTGTCCCACTTTAATAAGATTTTTCTGTTGGCAATTTTATCTCTTCTTTTGCCTTTCCCTATAATCTAAATGTATTTCATCCAGAACAGATTTTCCATGTTTGTGTAATCATGGCTTTCCGGTGAACCAACAGAATGTCTTTAAATACATCTTAGCTTTTTGACACTTTGCTCTTTAAATTCATATGCCCAGTTTGTTGTGCCAACAGCTGTTTTAAACTTTGAGAAAATCGCTCTTTTAGACTTCAGGCTACGCACATTACTCCCTGGTTCTGCGTTCTGTTTGCACAAAATAAGTTTAATCAGATGTGGCACCTAGGCAACTGCTAATTTTAGGCCAGTGATGAACAAGCTTACATACTTTTGCGAGAAAGGAGTCCAATGTTTAGTTACGCTTTCTTGCGTACAGCGCTCTGCCGAGAAACTGTTGGTATCTTTGGACAGCCGGTGGACGTTTTGTTGTTGGCTGCCTACGGTCGACTGGAAGTAGTTTTTCTCCCTTTGCATCATGAGTGGCTGTTTAAAGAGCAGCGTGTCTCCCCCCGGGCCACGGGTCAAGAGCAGCGGGGCCCCGAGCAGCACCGAGCCTCTCGCCGGAGCCCCAGGCCTCCGCAACAGCTGCTGCTTCCTCCCGCGACGTCCGGGAGCCG